ATTATTGTTAAACGAGTTATATTTTGAAGAATTATATTTTTGAAATATTTACAATTTTTTTTATTTATAAATTATACAACTATAAATTTAAGTAAAACAAAAGAAATTAATGGTGAAAAATTGTTTTATTTTTTATCTTGAAAATAATTATTTCACTTAAATTTATTGCTTTCTCAGTCTCAATTATTATTGTTAATTATAAATTAAATTCAAATAACATTACATATAAATTGGCGATATCTCTGTTTGAAATTTATATATTCGATTTTTAAGAACCATGTTAACATTTAAGTCATTAACGCATAAACTTAAATNTATATATTCGATTTTTAAGAACCATGTTAACATTTAAGTCATTAACGCATAAACTTAAATCTATTATATCTTCTCGAACATTGATTCATAATACTTAACAAATAATTAACAGCATTGAATGGTGTATATCTTATTCTGGAATTCCATTCATCTTTTTGTGATAGCTACTTGTGAGGATAAGTTCTGTTAAAATTAAGATTTATTATTTAATATGTTTAATAATATTTGCCCGAAAATTAAATAGTCTGAAGCAAAAAATATTTTTCATGACACAAAAAGTTTAGTTTATCTCATATTAAATTAAAATTATAAGCTATAAGCAAAGTTTGTTTATAAAGTCTATTACATATAATTTAACAGAATTTATCCTAAAATATGAATAAGAACCAATTTTTATCTCTTGCATACACAAAAATAATGGTTAATATAATATACAGTTTAATAAAAAATAATAAATATACCCTAAACAATGTGATTAAGATATTTATTGTCATGACTAATATAATGATTATTAATAAATTCATCTGGGAATTCAGAGTAACAATTTTTTACTGCAGGAAATTGTCTTCTAGGAGGTTTTTTATTATTTTCTGGCAATGTGCTATCCGTTACTAATTTTTTACTTTTATATCGCCGATTTTGAAACCATATTTTTACTTGAGTAGGAGTCAGTCTAATTCTTGATGCCATAACTTCTCTCTCAGCCGCTGACAAATAGCGTTGCTGCTTAAAGCGAAGTTCTAATTCTGATATTACTTCCTAAAAATATAACTACTTTTAATATAAATGTTATACATATAAGTTGTTACATAAAGAGTCATTAATGGCTAATAAGTTTTTTATACTATTAAATTGTGCGTCAATTTAATACAATTTTTAGGACAATCGTAAATTTAGTAAAAATGTGTCCTTGAAATGTGTTTATATTAAAATATTTCTGATTAAAATGCTGAAAAGTTTCAATTAATTATTTCTAGATAAAAATTATAATCTAGCGCTAACACATTCGTAATTATAATCTGATTTTGTCACAAGTCACTTAATTCTATAAAATACGCCTTTCTGAAGAATTACTACTATTGTTTATGATTAACACTTTGGTTTATTACTCTGTATGTGAATAATATGAGCTATTATACATCATAATGAAATACAAGATTTTTTACAAAGTTGAACATTTTCAACACTGGTAGGATAATATACGATTAAAAAAAAAACAATTTTTAAATATCTTTTTAACCTGTGAAAATAATATCCTTGGTTTTCGTTTAGCTCTTTTTTTGGTCGATGTTTTAGGCGGAGCTGTTTTTTTTGTACTGTTCATATTTTCTCTAAATCTTTCTTCTCGCGACGTTTCTAAAAAAAAAAAAAAAAAAATAACTAATGAAGTTCATAGTACTTACACATTTTTAAATCATAAATAAGTTATCAAATAAACAATAGTAACAAACACCATAGATATAATTAGGATTTTAGCATTTATATGGTTTAGGCATATTCATAGCACTATTTAAAAATCGTGTGACTTAATTACAAATTGCAAAATCGACTTGAAAATAGCCTTCCCTGCTAAAATATTATGTATTGGATGAAATTCTTCTAAAACATTGAACATTGGACACATAATAAGAAAAATAGAAATACAAAAAGTGAAGACAGATATATTTGTGGTAAATTTACAAAATTGCAAACTCGACATCAGTCATTTCAAAATATATTGTTTAGCATATTTTTAGAAATATATGAATAATGTGAGTTTTTACGTTTAGTTTCATGGATTATATCCAATAGATAATAAGTTCGGATAATCTTAATTTCTTCTACTCTTAAAAAATATTCCTATACAAATTTATAGAGGTATATCTTTAAAAATGCAAATACACGTAAACATGTTATTTTGAAAATTATTTTGCTTTCCGAATATAAAGGATTGTTGTAAAATTATTGTGCAATTTTATGATTGTTATAGAATAATGGAAAATATTCATAAATAACAAAGTTAATTTTACTATTTCCCTAAGATGCTAAATTTGCAAAAATAAAAATAATTGTTATAAACAAGATTTAAAGGTTAACACAGGCAATATTTACTACCCTCGAACAAAAAACATCTTGACCACATAAATTTTTACAACGTACGCAGAAATCTAAAAGAATAACGTGTATTAGTGTTTGCAATTATAATAACTAATTTTAATGGAAAACACACTTTTGAACTTAAAATCTAAATCAACAAAGTCACACATTTCGGTACAACTACTTACTAAATATCTGATCATCCAAATCAGTTTGAAATGGCGCCGAAAATGGTTCATTGGATGGTATTTGATGGGAAAACGGGCGTGGGGGTCGAGAATCAGGTTCATCTATTGTCGACGAATCAATGGAAATCGGTGCCCAGCCGCAGCTATACGGCTGCGTTGGCATATCAGCAATAGTTGGTGATAATACATTTGAACCTTGTGGCCAACTGTTATATGACGAAGTAGTATCGTAAGAACCATCTCCATAATATCCTCCACAATAAGCTTCATAGCCTTCG